AAGTACTTGCGATATGCATCTTCATCCTTGTCCAGCTGAAGCAGATATTCGGCTAGTGACTTTACATCAGGGAAGTCACTGACATGAATGAAGGACTCGGCAGGAACAAAGTTTTCATAGTTTCTTCTCGGAGGACCCAACACCACAGGGACGGTACCTGCTGCGAGCGGCCCGTTTATCTTCTCAGTGATGTAGTCCTTGTGGATGGAGTTCTCAAAGGCAAGGTAAAATTTGCAGCTAGCCAGGGTTGGATAGTAATCATTATAATCCAGGAACCTTGCATAAGCCTTTCCGAACAAAGTCACTTGTATGTATTTCCTGAATTCTCTGTAAAAAACATTCCTTGTGTCGACACCAGTTGAGGGATCGTTGTTACTTACAATCCAACACACCAGTTTGTCCTTTTTGGGAATCACAAAATCCTCATTAGGTTTCTTCCTGGTCATCAAGCGCATCCGTACAGGAATATCAGCGTCCTGTCTGTAGCTGAGCGTGAGATTGAACAGGTTTTCCAGACCTGGGATCCTTTTGGTGTTGGTTGGCGATTCCAAATGCAACCAAATCCACCTCTGGAACGGAGGACGAGGAGACGGAGGAAGGTTGGACAGATCCCAGCTGATGCCTCTGTGATAAACGATGACATTATCTGCATCGTTGTACAGAGCTCTATCATCCGTCAGATGACAATTATCAATATTGTAAAACTTTTTGCAGTCACTGAAATCAAACCTATAACTTTCAGGCCAAACCCATAACAGAACTATAGGTTTCTCCTCTGCTTTTTCAGTTACAGAGTTGTTGCTCTTGGCAGAGTTGATTTGTGAATTTTGGTCTGGTCTAAAAACTGGAGGTGGACAGTTGTGTGAAGGTGAGAACCAGAAAAACACAACGCCCAGAGAGATGACACCTGCCATCGTCACTGTGACACCCAGACGCAACAGCGATGGACCATTTGTGCTTGACATTTCTGACCTAAAGAGAACAATTGAAGAAAGTTTATTCACTTTTACAAACTCATTAGGTTTCTTCCTGGTCATCAAGCGCATCCGTACAGGAATATCAGCGTCCTGTCTGTAGCTGAGCGTGAGATTGAACAGGTTTTCCAGACCTGGGATCCTTTTGGTGTTGGTTGGCGATTCCAAATGCAACCAAATCCACCTCTGGAACGGAGGACGAGGAGACGGAGGAAGGTTGGACAGATCCCAGCTGATGCCTTTGTGATAAACGATGACATTATCTGCATCGTTGTACAGAGCTCTATCATCCGTCAGATGACAATTATCAATATTGTAAAACTTTTTGCAGTCACTGAAATCAAACCTATAACTTTCAGGCCAAACCCATAACAGAACTATAGGTTTCTCCTCTGCTTTTTCAGTTACAGAGTTGTTGCTCTTGGCACAGTCGATTTGTGAATTTTGGTCTGGTCTAAAAACTGGAGGTGGACAGTTGTGTGAAGGTGAGAACCAGAAAAACACAACGCCCAGAGAGATGACACCTGCCATCGTCACTGTGACACCCAGACGCAACAGCGATGGACCATTTGTGCTTGACATTTCTGACCTAAAGAGAATAATTGAAGAAAGTTTATTCACTTTTACAAACAAGAATTCAAAGGAATTCTTCAATAAAACTACTGCAGAATCAGTTCTCACGTTTGTGAGAAGCAAAAGCTACACAAGTAAAAGTTAATCATTATCTTGTAATAAAATATAAAGTTGAAACTTTGACCATTTTAGTGTAATAAAAATATATTCAAATTATATTTTTTGAAACAAAGTACTTAATTCAGTTCCTCACCTGATTAAAAGAGAAAAAAATCTGTAATTTGGTGTCCCATATATAGCCAATGTCTGATGATTAACAGACAGAAACACAGAAGGGGGTTTCTTTAAAGCATGATTTCCGTCAAAAGAAAGAAAAAAGATTGGGTTGTCTTGAGGTGTGTGCCAATGCTTGGGAAGAGATATGACTCGAACCAGTGTTTACCTCAGGATTTTGTGAGACTTGCGGAGGCAGGTGACGTCACATGTTAATTAGCATATTTATGATGTCATTGCCTCGGGTTTGCATTCAGACAAGTTTGGCACTTAGATCTCTCTTCTACTCTCTGAACTGTCACATACTGTAATACAACTGAATGCCCAATAAAGCTGTTCCCATTGACATATTTTCGGTTGTCATACATCAAACAAGTATTGTTTATATATAATGATATTGTGGAGGGCCACCACAAATAAATCAATGTATGGATGGAAAACACTGGTTGATCCAGTTTGCCGCGTTGGATGAAGAGTCGACGACGCTAGGGATGGGCGGATCGATACTTTCGATACTGATGTTGTTTTGAAAGGATCGATCCTCCCAGTGTTGGGGAAAGTTACTTTTAAAAGTAATGCATTACAATATTGCATTACTCCATAAAAAAGTAACTACGTTACTTTTTTTTGGAAAGTAATGCGTTACGTTACTTTTGCGTTACTTTTCAAATCTGGACAGGGCTTGCTTGTTTGTTTTTAAAATAAAAAAGTTCTAATTTTGGCAAATATAAAAGCCTTTTCACACTTGAAATGAAAATGAAAATGAATAAGCCTCAGGCTGAAGGGAAAGTACATTTACATCTGTACAGTAGAGTGCAGAAGAAGAAATATCAACACACTTCAGGAATAAAAAAACACACAAATGTTTGTCTAGACTCTAGAGTAATTTGTGCTTATTAGTACGCTTGAACTGGATCATCGAAGCTCAGAAGCAAAGACACTGGTTAATAGAATGGGATTAAATACATAAAGCATAGTTGTGTTGTTTAATATTTAATCATTGCAGGTTTGCGTTATATTCTGAGCTGCATTATTTTTATTCATTTTGAGGAACATTGAATGTGTGTTTTTGTGAGTGCGATTAATTAATGCATATTCATATTTATTTTAGAACTAGAGTAACATCTTCTGATTTCTCTCACCATGGGGACACCAGAGCTGTCAATCGACAAATTGGGGGAAAAAGGTAACTTGCGTTACTTATTTGAAAAAGTAACTCAGATATTCTCTTGTAAATTAAAAAGTAATGCGTTACTTTACTAGTTCCTTGAAAAAAGTAATCTGATTACGTAACGCGCGTTACTTGTAATGCGTTACCCCCAACACTGATCCTCACATAAAAACATCGATTCTAAAGTGCAATTTTTAATCATTAATTTTATTTATTTATCAAGAAATTCGGTGGATAAAATAAGCTTCTAAGTGGAACAAATAGATTATATTAGGGAATAATTGTGTTAGCACATATTACCTAAACCACATATTAATATGTTTTATATTTTTAAAATGAAAACGTAATGAGGATTGTGTTTTATATTTTGAAGAAAACGACAAGGCAGTGGTGTTTGATATCATTTCGCTTTATTATAATTCGTGTACGCGTTGCATGAACCACATTTTTGTGAGCCTATTTATATTTTAAATGAAACAGAAAAGAGTCACTGCTGTTTGATATAATATTTTGTTTCACTGTAATGTGTACGTTCCCTGAACTACATTTTTGTGGCTATTAATATGTTTAAATGAAAACGAAAAGAGTGTTTGATATCATATTTCGTCGTATTGTAAATGCATACAGTGAGGATAACCGGAGTAGCAAGGCAAGCTGAGTGCGGTTATCAAGTAGGCTATACTCTGCTGTTCCTTTTGCAGGCCACTGTCTTGCATAGTTTAGCTCCAACCCTAATCAAACACACCTGAACAAGCTAATTAGTGTCTTCAAAATCACTAGAAAGCTGCAGGCAGATGTGTTGGATTAGAGTTGGAGCGAAATTCTGAAGGACAGTGGCCCACAGGACCAAAGTTACCCAGCCCTGATAAAGAATCTACAAAAAAATTAATTAATGTTTTTTTAAACATCCATGAACCTCCAGGGTTACATGTGACCTGAGGGTCAACTGTGGTGTTCACAGGATACTGTGCACATTTAAACAGCACATCAAATTTGAGTTTTGTACACCTGTCTGAAGTCCAACAAGAACAAAGTGCTGTTGACAACCTACTTTATGACAAGAGCTATTTACAAGGTTGGTGAATGAGCACCAGCTGCCACAATGCAAAGCATATATGTGACCCCGGACCACAAAACCAGTCATAAGGGTCAATTTCTCGAAATTGAGATTTATACACCATCTGAAAGCTGAATAAAGAAGCTTTCCATTGATGTATGGTTTGTTATGCTAGGACAAAATTTGGCCGAGATACAACTATTTGAAAACCTGGAATCTGAGGGTGCAAAAAAATCTAAATATTGAGAAAATCATCTTTAAAGTTGTCCAAATGAAGTTCTTAGCAATGCATATTACTAATCAAAAAAGTTTTGATATATTAACGGTAGGAAATTTACAAAATATCTTCATGTAACATGATCCTTACTTAATATCCTAATGATTTTTGGCATTAAAAAAAAAATGATAATTTTGACCCATACAATGTTTGTTTGGCTATTGCTAAAAATATACCCCAGCGGCTTAAGACTGCTTTTGTGGTCTGGGCTCACATATTTGCAAGAATATGCTCACAAATGTGCATTCTCTGGTTCATCCAAGTGAACACAGAAAGACATGTCTGGCCTGAAATAGTACATATTATTGTAAAACATTATACTGTATTATTGATGCTGCATGCTGTTACAAAAGAAACAAGTATGTTTAATTTTGTTTTATGAGTAATTTTGAACATAGGAAGTCAAGTTATTTTTAATCATAATTTCTCCACCAGAGGCCACTATTGCATTGAGTCCTGTGTGTTCTCACCTGACAAAAGTCAGTTTGTGTATTGTATGTCCGTAGACTATCATTTGTCTGACTGCTTTTTTACTGTGCGTTTGCCGTTTGAATTTGTCCGACTGCCTGAGGAGTATAAGGATGTTTTAATGTCTATATTAATAGGCCACGGTGTGGATCTTCAGCCCATCAACAAGACAAAGTGTCTGGAACGGACAACCAGCAGAATGACTACAAGAGCATCGTGCCTGAAGTTTTAGAAGAATCCCTGACCAACGAGAATTTTTAACATCTCAAACGTCTGTTGAACTGAAACTGAATATTTGTGATCTGATTATGCTGGCAGCCAGTTTGCCAAATCTAGTAAAGAATCAGATGCTTTTTTCAGCATGTACATACATGCTTTAATCACATCTGTCTGGGGTTATCCAGTGTCGATGTAGATTAGCTGGCTCGAGGTTCATGTGCACAGAAGGCTCAGGATGATCTCGGTGTTTTTGCCCTGATTCAAATGAAGATCGGAAAGGTCCACGAACTGGGATTGAGTCGCTCGAAACTCAACCGCACCGGGTGTGTCAAGCGCTGGCTTTCATGCCTTTTTTTTTTCTCAGAGTAATTTCCGATCCGATACTTCTCTAGTCTGAAACTTCCGTCTTTCAGCATATAGTGAAATCCTCTGGCGCTGAACACGTTGCTATCATATGAGACAAAGTACTCCAGTTTTTTTTTTAATCAAGAGCTCTTAAAAGCGGTGAGGACTTGAATTTGCTACATTAATTCCAGACATGTTGCACAATGTGAATCTTGTCTAATTGAATGAGACAGATGTCAAATTTAGCAAATAAAACAACGATTAGCTTCCACTGTGCTGTAGTTTTTGTGTTTCTCACAGACCAAACATAGTGGTAGCCTAACTTTTATTTAATTCAAAATACCTTTTTAATATCAAGTGTTTTTTTATTCTCGTTGGTGAAAGAGTCTGATCACTTCCCTTTCATTGTTTTTTGATTATTTAGATCAGATGATGTCAAGCACAAATGGCTCATTGCTGTGCCGTCTGGGTGTAGTAGTGACTTTGGCAGTTGTCATCTCTATGAGCATCATGTTTTCCCGGTTCTCACCTTCACACAACTGTCCACCGCCACTTCCTAAACCCAAACTAAACTCAGAACAAAACTGTGCCAAGAGCAACAACTCTGTAACTGAAAAAGCAGAGGAGAAACCTATAGTTCTGTTATGGGTTTGGCCTGAAAGTTATAGGTTTGATTTCAGTGACTGCAAAAAGTTTTACAATATTGATAATTGTCATCTGACGGATGATAGAGCTCTGTACAACGATGCAGATAATGTCATCGTTTATCACAGAGGCATCAGCTGGGATCTGTCCAACCTTCCTCCGTCTCCTCGTCCTCCGTTCCAGAGGTGGATTTGGTTGCATTTGGAATCGCCAACCAACACCAAAAGGATCCCAGGTCTGGAAAACCTGTTCAATCTCACGCTCAGCTACAGACAGGACGCTGATATTCCTGTACGGATGCGCTTGATGACCAGGAAGAAACCTAATGAGGATTTTGTGATTCCCAAAAAGGACAAACTGGTGTGTTGGATTGTAAGTAACAACGATCCCTCAACTGGTGTCGACACAAGGAATGTTTTTTACAGAGAATTCAGGAAATACATACAAGTGACTTTGTTCGGAAGGGCTTATGCAAGGTTCCTGGATTATAATGATTACTATCCAACCCTGGCTAGCTGCAAATTTTACCTTGCCTTTGAGAACTCCATCCACAAGGACTACATCACTGAGAAGATAAACGGGCCGCTCGCAGCAGGTACCGTCCCTGTGGTGTTGGGTCCTCCGAGAAGAAACTATGAAAACTTTGTTCCTGCCGAGTCCTTCATTCATGTCAGTGACTTCCCTGATGTAAAGTCACTAGCCGAATATCTGCTTCAGCTGGACAAGGATGAAGATGCATATCGCAAGTACTTTAACTGGAGGAAACATCTCACTCCAAGTCCTCATTTAATATTACAGACACAAGAGTTTATTCTGGCTATTTGCACTGCCTGTGACCATGTAGCACGACACAAGGAATATAAAGAAGCTCATGATCTCTATGATTGGTACTTCAGTTAAAGTTACCTCAGGTTTTGGAGTTTGAACAAATAGTGATTAATTTTACTCTACAAATATTTTTAATAATAAAGTTTATGGATGTTATCACTTGTGTTTGTAGGCCTATCTTTTCATCTTCAAGTCCCTTTTAAAGGGGTCATATGATGCTGCTAAAAATAACATTATTTTGTGTATTTGGTGTAATGAAATGTATTTTCCACATACTGTACATTATTGTTTCTCCTCTATGCCCCGCCTTTCTGAAACGTGTCGATTTTTACAAAGCTCATCGGTCTGAAAAGCGAGGTGTGCTGTGATTGG